TAGTTCTCACTCAGTGAAGCTTTTTTTAGATTAAAAATACCTTTGAGGAAATGTATTTTCAGATGCCAAGTAAATTGCATCATGGCAACCCCCCTCCTGCAGGCTCTCGGGTGAAAGTGAAAGTGAAACTTAACTGTCTGCTGAGCTCTCTATATTAGTTCTCACTCAGTAAAGCTTTTTTCAGATTAAAAATACCTTTGAGGAAATGTATTTTCAGATGCCAAATAAATTGCATCATGGCAACCCCCCCCCACCCCCGCCAGCGCAACACCTCCGCATCGAAATGGGCGAGACAGAAGCGAAGGTGGTTCTTAAAGAGACAGAGGCCAATTTCAAGGCGTTTAGAAGAGGAAGTGATGAGAAGATAAATTTATTTTCACTTTAAACATAAAAACAGTGTCTTAACAACAACTAAAGGTGACATAGATACTTTATTATGGTATAGTATTTAAATATATGCCTGAGAAAAACGTAATATTGGCCCTTTAAATTCAGTTGAAAGAGTAGAAAAACATACATTTAAAAATGTGTTTTATTCAGAAGAAATGCTAAATTCTTTGATCAAATCTTATATTTTGATTTTGCTTCACCTGTTCTATAATTTTAAATTCACAGCAGAAGAATAATTTATCCGTACACATCCCACATCCTTTTGTATAATTTTTTTGCAGTGTCAYAGTTTGGGTTGCACAGAACACTGTTTTTCAGTCTATAAATTCCCTTTTGAACATGACTCCATTTGTGATAAAAATCCAAGCGTGTCGAGGTCAAACATCTCCTCGGATTGCTGAGTTTAGGATGAAAACTGTTTCCATTTTGCTGAAAGCTGGGGACACGATCAACATGATACCCACGAGGGAACAAAACTGTAGTTCTCCAATTATTTGGCTTTCACAGCAGGTTTCTTCTCTTCCCCTCAGAGAAACAATCACTCTTTGTGCTTGGTTGTTGCAACGCAGCAGAAATTAAATCACACACCAATTCTTTAGGCTGTTTGAAAACACAGAGAAGAAGAAAAAAAACTTGGAAAAATATGTAGAGGATCACCGGTTTTACAACAAAAGATTAGAAATTATTTGAGCTGTTTAAAACAATGTTCCTCAAAAGAAGACAGCTTTTTTACATTCTGTTCTGCAAGTTGGTACAGTTTGTTGAACAAGTGAATCAAGGCACTTAAAAAAAGATCAAAGATGTTCCAAACATTCAAACAATTAATGGCAGTTTTTTGACTCCGAACTTGTGAAACCAGCAATCTGTTCTGGGGTCTGCTTATGGGCGTTTCACTTGTAATTATTGAAATGCAGAAAGCAAAATAACGCCTGTAAAATTGACTGGAGAACATGGATTCCGGCTCAATTCACATCTATTGTTACTTGTTTTTATGTAATATTTTACACAGGAGTAGCCCTGTCTAATGTTCTAAAGGGAAGAAGTATAAGTACTGGATTCATTCAGCCTGTAAAAACTCAGAGTATAAAGAATAATATTATTATACACAGTCAGCAATCACATATAAATATAAAATTGATGTACTTGGTGTAATAACTTTTACATAATCCATATAATTGTATTCATATTTCTCATGAGAAGGCTTGGATTATTTAGATTTAACATTTGTCTCTGTGATGCCATTTCCGTGCTGTAAAGTTTGGCTTAAGAGGCTGAATATTTAATTTTGTGTTTGAAACATCAGGGAATATACATATAGGTCATAATCCTTAGCAAACAGTGAGATTACAATGTTTTTCGTTTGTATTCAGTTTGCATTTTTCCTTACTTTATGGAGCTGAGGAKGGATAATTGATCAAGATACGCCCTCTAGTGGAAAAACGGCTTTACTGCAAGAGAAATTTATTGGGAATTTCTTGAAACAGAGTGCTCAAACTTTTCCATATATTTGTGAATAAAGGAAAACATTGTTGACATTTACTKTTTTGGGTAATTATCAAATTGTGTTATTTAACTGTAAATAACTTCYTGTGTTCAAATCTATAATGTGGACCAAAACAATCAAACATACCCCACAAAAATACAGTATAAAGCAACAACTGTGTATTTATTTCAGAACAAAAGTTTGGATCAAAMGTTAAAAAAAATCACATATGTTGGATTTATTTTTTGTTCAGTTTCTAACAAACATGTTTTTCTATACATTCTGTTACATATTTGGCCCCAAATCTTTATTTTTTATTTTCACTTTTTATATACTTACAGTTTCTTTTTAGTTAGAAGTTTTTTAAAGTCTAACCTGATTGAAATAAAGGTAAGCTTGATCAGACTTRATGCATGAGCACAAACACAACCAGTAATTTCACTTCAAATCATCTTAATGAAAACACACAAACATGGACCTCTGTAGATTTGTTACCACGCCATAGTGGATGGAATTAGCGCCTCTTCTCTTCCCAGTGGAACAAACACAATCAAGGTAAATCCTCAGTAAGGCCTGCTAATCTGTAATCCCACTGGCCCAGTGTTGGTCCCCTTTAGTCCCTGTGCAAGGCCTGTCCAACAACACAKAGGTCCGGGTGTGATGCAGATCGTGCTGTCACTCTTAGTTCTGATTGGCTGCCCCATAAGTCATCTCCCCTGATTGGTTCATTGTCCAGCCTGTTAAAATGAATGGAGAATAATTAGTTTYCTAATAAAGGAAGTGTGCCAGCTGGGTATGCAGTTATATGATTTAGGAAGTTTAATAAATTATAGAATTTAGCCTGTAAAATTGGAACTAATCTTGTAGTTCCACATAGTGTGGGTGAATAGTAACTTTTATCTAAAGAGATACCTTTTTTGTTTGATTGGAAATTACAAAGAAATACTATTTGAATTAAATCAACATAATTTATTATGCATACAGTATATTAAATTAGCCTTAGAGGACTTTTTATTGCCAATTGCCTAAGCTTTAACTTTTCTCCTATATTACATAAGTAGTTTGATTAACTGAATCAACCTTGATTTTCCCATTCTGATAACCATCCATCCATCCATCCATCCATCCATCCATCCATCCATCTATACATGTTGGGTTGAGAATGTAACAAAGTGTTAAAGCCTTACCCTTTTGAATATATTGCTGGCTCACTCCCACAAGTTTCAGCCACAGAAATGCCTTGAGATTGTTGTGTCATATTCAGACTTGGTCTTCGGTCTGACTGGCTCCGTCGGACAAAGGGTCGAGATCCATGATCAGACACAGGGACCCTCCCCCGACTCCCCCATAATCTTGAGAGAATGGAAACTCTGGTAGAAGTCCATGCTTGAGGTGGTTGGGGACCCGAACAGGGCTGGGCCTCAAACAAAGATGGGGAGATGGGGCAAAAAACGGAGCGAGCATTACTGAACGTTCGAGCACTGGATGAGTCTTCGTTGCTGTTCTCGCTTGACCGTCTTTGTATTTTTGGSGATGCTGGTGGAGATGGGGCTTTGAAAGGGTAAGGTGAGCCTGAGTTTGAGTTTAAAACATTCTGCTTTAAAACAGGTGGGCTGGGAAGTCTCCGCTGAAGACCTGGTGATGTAGGGAGTGTCCTGTTAACAGTGGGAGTTACAGTTGTGGGTGGCATGGACTGGTTTTTTAAATAATGGGGACTGGGAAGCCGTCGATGTAAGCTGTTTGAGGTGGATGGTGTTGATGGAAGGATCCGACCTCTGGAGATTGATGATGTGGCAGGTGGTTGGCTGGTGGCTACTGAAGCAGGAGGCACTGTCGATGCTGGAGTGTTAGATTCAGGCACTGTTGATTCTCCTTGAATTTTAGATGTTGCTATACATTTTGTTGATGATCTCTCTGGGTTTGGGTCTGAAGATTGTCGTAGGTTTATAATCTTTTTGGCCTGCTGGTATAAAGAATTTGCTGCCATTCCTGGATGTGACTGAACATCTGATTGGTTGACCTTTGACAAAGCAGATGCCTCTTGTTGATCCAACCTAGGTGTAGAAACAACCTTTGAAGATTGTGGCAGTCCTCCTTTGCTTGGTAGCACTGTGACAGACTGAACTGAAGCCCTCAGTCGGTTTGATAAGACAGCTCTTTTTAGCATAGGTGACTTTCTTACTTTTGTAGCGCCATCTCCTGCTGCAGTTAATTCACTCTGGGCACTTTCAAAAGAATTGTCCATTAGTACTTCCAGTGGAGGTGGAGGAAGACTGTCCAGATCTAAGTAATCCATTTTCTCTGYCGTTGTGGACTCAGGCCTACAGCTTGTTATACCAGCACTGAGCACAGCCTCTACATTTCCTAAACCAGGCAGAACTGGAACTCCACATCTTCGTACACCTTTCAGAGCCCCAAGAGCTTTAGGACCTTCTCTTTCCTCTATTCCTTGACTGAAAGTGTCAATCAGTTTTTTGACAGAATTTCTGCCTCTCTGAAGGCCAGAAGATGGTCGTGGTGATGAAGGAGGACTAGGTGGTGGGGTGGCTTTTATAGGACCTTTGGATGTTTTTTTCTCCTCTTGTTTATCCTCCTCCATATTGTTTGTTGGCTCAACTTTCTTATTATCTTTAAGTGGCCTGGTATTACTGTCCTTACCTTGGGAGGGATGTTTGCGATTTYTTGCTGGAGGATGTGCTGGTGATTTATTTTGAGCAGGTTTACTTGGAGCAATTCTTGCATTTTCTACCACTTTGCTTTTACTCATCCTCTGTAGCCTCTGGTTTAAGTCCTTCTGTGTCCTTTCCAGTTCAAGCAGTGTAGGATCTTCACCTCTACTTCGGAGTGATTCTGCTGAACGGGAACGTTGCCCTCTTGTCGCTGGATTCTTTTTCCCTCCCGGCCTCTGTACAGCTGCTGATGTTTGAGGCCTTTTTGGAGATTGCAGCTCCTCGTCTGTCCACTCACGTCTAATGGTTTTGGGGCTTCCTAATACTTTGGCGTTGGCACTGGTGTTCTGTTTTGGTACAAACTGTATTTTACCACTTATAGCATTTTTCATTTTGAGAGTCATTTCTACATTTTGTGGATTTTCTATGCGTTTTGTGGGTAGGCGGTGAGGAGGTTTTTCACTGCTGACAGGTGAAGAATTAGATCGCATTCTAAATGCTATTTGCACATCCCCTACYTTTCTATCTACCACGTCCTCATCATTGTTGTCATCTTCCCCATCGTCCAAGGAGACTGATCCTAATATTGAGTCTCTTTGGTCATTGGGCATTATAGTACATGTAGAATCAAGTGAGTTTAGTGAAGTGAGGGATACACTTGAACTTATTTGAGTCTGATACTTTTGCCTTGATGCTCTATTTGTGTTCCTGGAGGTACGCTCCCTGTGACTGACTGTACTTCTGATGGTCCCAGCAGATTCACAGCTCCCTCGTCTATGACGTTTTTCAGATCCATTTAAGGATTCATTCTCAGCTCCAATACCGCTGTCCTCACTAAACAGAGCAGAATCTTCTGGGCCAGGCTTCTGCAGAGAGGCCATTTCAATACGGGTTAAGAGTTGCATTAATCGAACCTCAGCTGCATGTTTGACTTTCAGTTTATCTTCTAAAAGTTCGGACACTGAGGCAAAATACTCCACTGCTTCCTCCAAAGCTGAGTCTCCAATGCCACCAACTGTGCGGCTCACATTTCTCATTCTCTGTGTGGTGTACTGTAGCAGCTGCTGCAGCAAATCTGGTGGAGGTTCTGCATTAACTGAGCCAAACTTTCCAGGTGGAGAAGATGAGAGATTTTTCATTTGGCTTGGCCAAGCAAGATGTTCTCCGTGTTCTTTTAAAACTTTTTCTCCCTCCTCTGCCATCTCTCCCAGTCCCTCAATAATTTCCTCGTAGCGTAAAGCCATGAAGGCCACCATTGTCTGCACAGAGACCTGAGTCTGGGTAACTTGCTCCAAAAGTCCAAGTAGAGAGTCATATTTGTTTATGCTCGGGTTTAAAAAGGCATAGGCAGCTTGATGAGCTTTCACCAAAGGTTCTGGAAAGTCCACTTTTTGATCTGTAAACACATTGCTTTTATCCATGTCTTTCCTTTTAGGAGTTTTTGCARCCTTGGCATTTTTCTTTGTCTTTTTCCAAGGTTTTTTATCTGATAAATCCTGCTTGTCAATGATTTTCTCTTTTCTTAGTGATACTGTTTTGTTGTCTATTACCTGATTTTCTAGTTTGTTGATGTTCACTGCTTCTGTGTTCACCTGTTTAGCGGCAGGCCTCTTTTTTTGTGGGGTCATTTGTGCCTCCGTCTGAAATGCCTGGATGGGCGGAGCTCCTTTTCTCTCCTTTATATCTTCATTTAAAGATTCAGGTGATGTATAATCCTTTCCATCCTTGAGATGTGAGTCCATTTCTTGAGGCGCAAAGGGTAGCATCCTCCCCTTCCTTGTGGTTTCCAAGGTGCCAAAATTGTTACCTTTTGATGGTGAGCAGCCCATGTTTGCTTCTTTATGTTTTCTCAAAGAAAACAGTGATGGAAACACCGCCAAGGTTCTTAGCCACCCGCTGTGTCAGTCATTTTCAGATGGCTGAGGTTGTCGAGCCTAATAGAACTCCTTTCAGCTAGAAGACTTCTGAAACAAAATATGAATAAATCCATTACAAAAATTGCTTCCGTCTATCAGTATTGTGCAAAATAAATCCGCAAATTAATGATCATGTTGGTGAAAATTTCCTTGCAGCATGCTCTAAAATGCATCCCTGTGCACCTTACAAAGACAAGAAGCTGAGAGGATTAGTGGGGCTTTCAGTGAACTCTTCTGCCTTAGCATATGTCATGTGAAGCAAATAAAACTCACCTACTTGTAAGAACATAAGCTCATTTAGGTAATAAGGGCTGGCCTAAGTTGGCTTTTTATAGTCAGATAAACAATATCTTACTATTTAGTTCTTGTAAAGCTGAAAGAGAGAAAAAAAATAGCACAGTGGAACAGATATTAAATAATCTTATTTTTTCTGATTTGATTTAGAGAACAGGAAAATTCTGTTCTACTCTGTCAAGTATGTTTTAATAAAGTCTAAACTATATTTGTCTTTAATTGAAATAAATTGTTTTAATAACATGATGTGACATTGTATCAGTTTTGATCCTTCTTCATACAATCAGCTTAGGTTCAATAAATTACTTATTTTAGCTCATAATTTAAATTAAATATTACATATTTTAGCTCATGTATGTATGTATGTATGTATGTATGTATGTATGTATGTATGTATGTATGTATGTATGTATGTATGTGTGTGTGTATGTTTTAATA